TTTATGCTGGCTCTGCTCTTTTCTCTTCTTTTTGGTTATTCTTTTATTCCAACAACTCCTGCAATATGTATCATTTCAATTACCCTGGAGGTTTACATAGTGCTTACAATGAACTGAGGTGTGCTTCCAACTCCTGCCCATTATATTCTGACAAAGAAGCTCAGAGGCAAGGCTGTGTGACTGGTGAACCGTATGTGAGACAAGGTTCAAAGGGAAGGAGCTTATATAACAGTTACACATAAGTCTTTTCCCCTTTCCACAGTCTAGGTCTGTCTTTTAATATTGAAATTCAAGCTGCAACCAGGGGCTGAGAGACTTCATTTTAGAAGAGGTTTTTTGCTAAAGGTAATAGGGGAAATGTGAATTGGTTGTTTATTCATTTGTTTGCTTGTTTCTGCTCCTGGACAGTAAGAATATAGGCAATTTTTATTCCAAGCATTCACTAAATACACTGAGGATTTCTTTTTATAGAAGATCCATTTAACCAAAAATTATCTAACATGCAAAGGACTGCTTCATGGGAACTTTCTATATCTATAGGGCTTTTGGTTTGTTTCAGTGTTTACCAGCTCCTCAACCCTTGCCCCTTCCCCTTCAAAGTCCTAATCATAGCAGGCCTAAAATCCTTGGAAACTACCCATTGTAACTAAAGGTTCCGTCCGTTACTCACAACCAGAGGAATAATATCTGTTTACTACAAGGAAACTGGTAGGATCCACTATGACTGGCAGTCCCAGTGCACACAAACAGAGCATCTCCTGCTTTTAGAAATGAGGATTCCTCAGATGGGTGCCTTTGAAAGTAATTTAGTGGTGCTCTACTCCTCAGATTCACCAATGTGTGCAATCTGACAACATCTTGCAAGCACACCTGGCCAGGACAGAGGATTGCGTTATAAATGTCTAACAAAAGGATCTCCCTTTCCTCTCTCTCCTCATTCTGCACTTACTAAGCTAATTACTTCATTTTCCTATTCATCTTTCACATGTCTCCCATCTCTCTGGCTTGATCTTTGAATACTGTGTGCTTTGAGAAAAGACACGGTAAAAAGCTCACTTTCACTTTCCAGTTGGAAATTCAAGGCTTCATTTTTTTTCTAGCCCAGCTTTCAGCTGTTAGTCAAGGGTCAAGCCACTGTAGACAAAAGCTTTCAAACTTCAGAAGACATAATTCAGCAAGATTAGCTGAGGTGCTGATGGAAGAGAGGTCTGACCATGTCTCCCTATGGTTAAGGATGACAGTACACATAAGAACATGTTAATGGGGACGCAGCCTTTTACCTTCTGACACCTCACTTGGTCAGGACTAACTTATTGTCACCTTAGATAATCATTCCCCCAGATATCAGAGACTTTGGCACAAGGTCCTGCTTCTCTGATTACAGCTGAGCTATCAGAAGGAAAGTAGGATAGGTACAGCCTAGCATGGCTATTTTTGCCTTGAAAGAATAATAGTTACTCAAAGTCATTTTAGATGTCTGAAGTCTTTTTTTTCTCCATGTGCTGCTGACTAACTTGCTGATAACTTCACCTGGGGTGGGACAGACCACCATGTCCTTACACAAAACTACCTCTTCAAAATTATATTTTGGGGAGTAACAGCAGGAGAGCATCAGCAGTCAGCTCAGCGATAGAGCGTGTGATGATGTTGTTCTGGAAAAGCATTGCTGCTTCTCTACCAACACTTGCTTGCATGCTGTCTCTCGCACAGCTTGAATGGACAGGAAAGAATTAATACTTTTTATGTAATTAAAAAGCTACTGAAGTAGCAAACAAATTCAGCAAGCTGCTTTTCCTCGGCTTCAGAATGCATTTTCATTATTGGTGTTTTTTTTCTGAGGACTCAAAATTCAGACGAATTTAGGATCTGTCTTGAATCCTGAACAAAGAAGGCAATTTCTTGGCTTATACATTCCCTTAGGATGGGACAGCCCAAAATCCTGACCTTTGGTGCCTTTATTTTCTAGTCCAGATCTGCGTTTGGCTGTCCCTATTGTTTAGGAGAAGGCTGTCCACTGCATTTTAGGCTGCCATTAGCCATCATAGCTCTGTGGAAGAGGATGTCTGTCTCCCATATCAGACATTTAGACTGTATTGAACATGGACAACCATTATTTGCTATTGCTTTTCCCACCAATTACTTGTCAACCTTTTACCCACTGTCAAGCCAACCTTGCAATCAGTCCTTCAATGTCTTTTTATTTTTATCTTGAACTGAAGAGTCTGAATGTGCAAATCCAGGGAGATGAAATGACAACCCTTTAGTTCTAAAAGCCGTAACTACCAATAGCATCTTTTGATGTATACTTTCTTACTGAGTAAACACCTACTTAGCCATGCTACAAAAATATAATTCCTTAGCTCCATTTTGCAGCCAAGCATACCTGCTTTATTGTTCCTTCTTGGCATGCTGCCCATAATGTTGATCTGCTCTTACTGAATTAGCCAGACCCTCATAGACAGCTCTTCCCCCCTTCACTGTACGTTTCACCAACACAACTGGGTATCTCTCTAAGTACAGTAGCCTTTGCTTCTGCCTTTCTGCCCTTTCTTCCTCAGACCACATAAAACCCATCTTTCAGAAACTCTGAAATTACTTGTTCTGTGAAGTGAAATTTTCAGAGCCCTTCAAATATCCAGCGTATGAAAACTCTTTTCTTTATCCCATTTAGGATTACAGCCAAAAAAAAATTAAAAAAATTAAAAAAATTAAAAAAATTAAAAAGGCAAGACAGTTCCTTCCTTGCAAAGAAAACAGTTATTAACCTTCAGGATAAAAGCAGATACAATTCCAGTGATGGATTTTTTTTCCAAAGGAATTGTGGAGAAGGTAGTTGCTGAGGACAGCAACAAGCAAGTTGTATTACAGCAACAGCTCCCACAAAGATTTGTCACCTTTAAAGAAGAGAGGAAAATAAGCATTCTAACAGTGGCCTATTTTGGTGCTACAGTAATCCTAGTTTGCATCAGTGATTTGCAAATGGTCCATCTCCTGACACTGTATCAAGTCAAACCTTTGCAGCTCAGCAGTTGCATCTGAATTTGTGACTTTCACCAATATCTAAAAGGCATGATCTGAGAAGTGTTTGAAGCAGAGACTTTTGGATTACATTTAAGTTTCAAGTTACTCAATATTCACTTTTATACGAGCAATATATTCATATATTCAATATATTCATATTACTGCCTTTCACCTTGTTATTTTTATAGTCATTGAGATATGACATGGCTGATGAGAGTCAGTGGCCCAAAACCAAATGTCAATGAAGGGGAACTGTAAAACATACTCTGAATACTTGGAAAATCTTTGGAGATAGGTTTCATACTGCTTTGGAAAGGCAAACCCTAATGTTTCTTGATTCTTACATCTACTCTTTATAAACTGTGTAGGAGCAATTCTCAGGACATGATGAAAAGGATAAACAGGTAGAACAGTAGGATGATTTGCCCAAAATCAGGAATCTCCATGGGAGCTAAGAGAGAATATAAAGAAACACAGCCTGAACCACAGTCACATGCTGATGCGAGCTACTGAAAACAGAGATGAAGTGACATGAACACAGTTTGCAAAAACCATGTAAGCAAGTCAACACAAGTTTTAAAGCACCATGTCAGCATCTAACTTCCTTTTTCTAGCTATTATTCATATTTTGCTGAAACTCTGAGCCATCCAGGTTCTCTGCACACTTTTCTGCTCCCAAGGGTGAAAATGGTGTCAGCTTTGCAACCAGGAGTGGTTCCTACACTTGAGACTTTCCCCCATTGATTTCTCTTTGCCTGTTTCTTCACTTAAGCACTTGCAGGTTTAGGCCCATGAGCCGTTCATTTGGGATGTCCTGCTGCTGCTGCTGCTGCTGCTACTGCTGCTGCTGCTGAAGCCACAAAGCTTGTTTGGGCCCGAGGACTGGTATAATCCCTTTCAGTAATTAGCAAGAACAATTCAGCCCCATTACAAGAAGAGACAAAATGACTGTCAATGCCTTATCGAAAGACAGGAGTGCAAGTATCTCACACTGCTGACAGTTCTTATCCTTCTGCCTCCTCAGCTATGCACAGAAGCACAGCAGCAGCAGGTAGACTTCCTCCCCAGCAGAGGAGAAAAGGTTAAGTCTCAGAAAAGCTGAAAGGAAATTAAGAAAATATTTCAAATATCTCTAACTTCTGCCACTATCATGTTACTAGTGTCAAAATAATGCCACTCTGCACTGCAGCAGGCCTTGCACTTTGCAGGGATTAAATTATTAATGTTAGTCTGGAGGTGCTCATTTTGCCGAGTCAGCACAGGGTCACACAGATGCAACTACTTATTTATCAGTTTTCATTATCCTGTTTGTGGATTTAATCACATATGTGGACACATCCTAAGTCCCTATGTGCTGGGACAGGCAGAAGAGCTTCCTGTAAATTCTGCAGGAACTACTGGGCTCTGAGTTGTGTTGATCTCATTTGATCTATGCGGTTGCTGGATGGCCTCAACTAAGATTTTTGACAGCTTATGTGGAATGAAAAACAGTTGTCAGCAGGGCTTGATCCCTAAACACAGTTTCCATCAGACCAAGGAATGACAAATTATCATTCCAATGATGAGGACATCCCCCCAAAAAACCCTCCTGCTGCACTTATTCCTAATTTTCCAAGATGAGGTAGAGAACGGAAAAAGGGTAAGAGGAGTTGAAGTCAAAGAGGTTTTTCTTTGCTTTCATCTGTTCTCAGATATCATTCACCACTCTGATGAAGAGCATGAACTACCAGCTGGTTTGTATGGCACATTTGCATGTCAAGATATGCCAGTGGTCGCTTCAAAAAAGGGAAGTGTTTTCTTACGGAGGCGCAGTCTCAAGGGCAGCTGCTGGCTGTTGACGAGGTTTCCATGGCAAGCACCTGAGTTCTGGAGTGCCCTAGGAGCAGTCTGAATGTACACCTAACCTCACTGCAACCTACAGCACTGCTGCTGTATGTAGCACACCCACAGGATTACTTTCCTGAAGGCTTGTATTTCTGATCTCCAGAAGACCTTGAAAACAGCAGATCATGCTTCAGCCATCCAGGGAGGTTCCTCATCCTAGCCATTAAACCTAGCTGGGATGCAACCTAGCTCTTAGAGTGGGACAGGGAGGGAAGAAGGAGGCTAAAGCTTTGGATCTACTGACTTCAATATCCTACAGTGGAAAAGGTTGGTGCAGTATTGTTTATTTTAACTAAAGGTATTTCCACAGCCCTTATCACTGTAGCATCTGAACCAAGGCCAAAACTCTACCTTCCTGTCAGGTCTGCAAGGCTGGAAGCAGACAGCTGAGGGGTTAAGTGTCTGGTGAGTGGATGCAGCTGGAGTTTGTTAACCTGTGAGGCTCACTGAAGCCTGCAAAAGAAGGAAGAGGAAAGGAGAGGGTAGTGGAGGGAAGGGATTGAGTGCAGTTTGGGGTGGGGTTTGGTACTGTCCTTGGATCCTGCCACAAATGGCATTTATATTGGAGAGCATGTCTTATTTCTAAGAGGCAGGAAGACCTTTTGCTCTGGCTCTTTAGGTCTTTTTCATCTGTTTGTGAAGCAGGCTTTCTCACCAATCAGCAGTTCCATGAAGCAGGCTATTTTTCACCAGTCGGCCGTTCCCCCAGTCCTGCTATATTCACCTTAGAGAATGTAAGATTGTGAGAGCTAGTCTGTGCCTTAGGAGGAAGCTGAGATTTGAAATGGGGTGTCCTTGGTTTGCAATGTAACTTGGCCTTTCCAAGCGGAGTATTGTGAAGAATTTATTCCTCAGCATGTCGTCAGGGTCCTTTAGAAGGAGTTATTTTACACTGCAAAATCTGTGGGGTTTTTGAGGAACTGACAAGCATGAGGCTAATTTAGCAAAGGAGTTTATGTTGATTTTTCCCTGGAAGAACAAGCATCCTTCTGCCTGCCTGGCAATTTGAATGCCTGTTTGCTCTGTCTCTCAGAGTCTTATGCAAAGATCTCAGCCTTCAACAGGAATAGCCTCTTCCTCACAAGATTTTCAGTAAGAGCCTGGGCAATTTGGCTTCCATCTTCTGAGAATGCTGCAGCCTGTTTCTCTGGAGGGAATTCATTCTGCATGATTTCCTGCCTGAAAGGAATACATGATGCTGAAGGAGAATTTTTCTGAGGAAAATGCTTTTTTTTGTGGGTAATCCTGACATCGTTCAGCAGAAACAGCTAATCCAGGCCTTGACCCTTACATGACTGCATTCTGCCAACTGCTCTGTTTCTATAACTGCCTCGTGTAGTCCCATTTTTTTGAGACCTTCCTCCTGTACCTTGTTATACTAATTAGCTGTCTTGCTTTGATTTGGATGGTGAAGTCCTGCTTAGCATGTATGCCCTTCCTACAGTTTCTATCACTGAGGTTTTCTGGAAGGCAAAAATACTGTCATACCAGCAGTAGATCAGCAGAAATTGCTTCTGCATTTAAAAAGCTATTGAGCAGCCCTTAAATGCTGCTAAAGAGAGGTACTGCTGTGTGGTTAATGGAGATTTGGTGGATGGGGAGGGAGAAAACCAAGAGATAAGAGTGCAACACTTGTATTAGCGAGTCACGACACCTCTGTGGGCCTCAGCTCACTTTTATAGAACAAAGACATAGTTGTCTCCTACTCTGCTTAGACTGTGTAGTTATTGTCAGTGCTTTGGATCAGGGACCATATGCACTTGTGTATAGGCATGTAAGAGGCCGTGATTCTGAATCTTTGTACAAGATTATTACAAGACTAATAAGGTGGGAGGCTGTCATGGGAGAAAAAGGGCAATTTCACTGGGATGTTTGCATCTCCTCTGAATGTGCATACCACTAGCCCATAGACAAGGAAGACCTGATCTTACAATGATTTGGTTAAGTCTCATTTCTACAGCTTACTAGTGGGCATCTTGCTTTAGACTTTGGTGGTCACTTCATCAAAAAGAAAAAAGCCAATGCTGTGTGACTCTAGCAATCAGTGATACTATGAAAGTGATGAATTTTCAACAGATAACCGAGGCAATTTGCCACAGGTTTAAAGGCTGAAATGGGCTTAGTACAAAACAGCCTGATGAATAATACAGGACAAAGAAAGTATGCTTTATGTATTTCTGACCAGCTTAGAAGGAAGACTAAATCCAGCAAAACTAGTTACATACCACAAATCACACGAAGTAGCAAAGTCTGATTTTTGAACTTAATAAATGTAAGAATGTTGGCAATGTTTCATGTTGGCTTTATCTCAAGTGAAGGATTAACTGTCCACCAGCAGTTTTTGTGGTGTGAGTCAGGAAACCAGGCCTCTGGGCTGGGTACAGCAAAGGCTCCACAACTTGTGACTAATTGGGGCACTACTGCCAGCATTTCAGCATTTTTAATCATAGCCATTTTTTAAGTGTCTTCATGGAAAACACAAAACAGTCTCCATAATATAGAGGGATTTTTTATCTTCTTTTCTGTTTTGTTTTAAAGCAGTGTCTGTCATAAGCCATCCTGCTTTTGTCCTAATCCTGAGCCCTCAGTCATGCTTCTGCTCCCAAAAACAACTCATCAAAACTGGTCAGTCCTGCAGTCTTGACTCTGAGAGACAGAAAGGAGGAAAAGAAAACTGCAGTATACAGAGTAGGCTTTCCTCTGGTACCTCCCTGTCATGTCTGTAATCAGGGGCATAAGGACAGGGTGTAGCAGGGCCTACAGCTGAGCTCCCCTTTCAGGACCCCAATTCTGCACTGTTACCATCTGGTAGGCTTGTCTAATTAACCGGGAAGGTTTGGCATTTTGTTACCTACCCCATCTGCTTTATTCTTTGTGTTTTCTTGGCATCTTGAGTTATGTCTGATGACATTTTCAAAACCAAGCCACCTATTTTCTAGAAAATTGTTTCTCCAAGACAGTGGCAATTTAAAGAACATTTTCAAGTCCAAAAGGGTATCAATTCCTGCTCCTATAACTGAAGCTTACTTTTTTTTTCCTTATGCTCTTAATTTCCTTTTGAAAGGAATCAAGCATATTTCCTTGTTTATTTCTGTCTCTCAGTTGCTTTTTTGGCTTGTGTTACCACCCTGATCCATTCTGTGTATTTCTAATTACTTTTCAGACAACATTTTGGGTTTTTTTTTTTTTACTTTTCATCTGCAATACTTGCTTCTGCATGCACCCAGCCTCAACATGGGGTGTAGGAAATGCAGGTGGTTTCTATCAGGAGAAGCCATCCTTGCAAGGGGAAGGTAAGTGCAGCAGTTAAGGCAAAGGTTGAAACTGCTCTTGGAAAGCATGCCCAGTATACCTTTCAGTGTGGGGTGGCTGATTGTTTTGTAGTTTGCTTCTCTGTAGGCTTCTCCCTGTGTCTGCTTATTTTTCTTTTTCCTGGACACTTGTGCTTGACATTGTCTGATATTCCAGAGACCGGTCTTTGAACAGCTGCCAGCCACTCCCCTGGGTACTGCCTTGGATTTCTTGTGCTGTCTGAAAAACAAATATGAAACAATTAACAGGAAGATAAAAATCACTCAGTGCTTTTGGAATCCCTGAGAGGAATCTGTCTGGCACTCAGGTATATCCCAAAGCTAACTGGCTCATTCTTTCTTCTTTCTCTTCTCATCTACTCCAATTTCCATTTGTTCCACAAAACATTGTCCCCCTGCCTTCTCCCCCAACAAACCAATATCAAACTTTATGCAAGCTGACCAGCATCTGCTGATTATGTTTTTGCTGTCTCTGCTCAATTGCTGTGCCATGGCCCAGTGAACACTTGTGATAGGTTGGAGCTACATGCCATTCTGCTACTGCCTACTTGGTGATGATGAAGAAACCACTTCTCCTGTCCATGCCTCAGTTTCCTAATCAGTAAAACACTACTTATCTGTTCTGGAATCTCACGGCAAGGAGAATTCCAAGAGGAAGGTATTTTTAATTATGTCAAGTGGGTGACATTCCAGTGATTGTACAGATGGTGAAGCTTGTTTTACATAATGGCTAGTTAGGGTTTTTGTGGAATTCGGTTATGTTACAGGATAATACTCACATTTTCCAGCAAAAATTTTACAGCCTTTTACCACAAATATCTCTTATCAACTATGTCTTTACATTGTCTCTTCATGAGGAGAAATTACAAATTCTCTCCAGTGTTTTGTTTTGACAATTGTTAGCAAATCTGAACTCAGATCATTTGAAACACAACCGTTCCTCACTCCATGCTCAATCCTATCTGGTTTTCTTGACCACTGCACAGAAAAATTACTCTGTAACCTGCACAATGCTGCACTTCAGTGTTCCTTTTAATTCTCCAGCAAAATTCCATTTAACTCACAAAATATAGGGTGATTTTATTTTAAAAGGATTATGACTGGGCATCTCATTTCTCCTGAGACAGTCTGCCTAAATTAGAGCAGACTGAAGTGATGAGTGTGGAGGGGGACAGACATGAATGGGTTCCGACTGCCAGAAGACATCAAAGAAGACTGGGGACCCAGATTTTTCAGAGAAAAGACTGTTGTGACTTCAGGTCCTGCTGCTGCCTTAACACATGTCACTTACAGAACTTCAGCAGGCTGATATCTTCTGATGGAGCTACAGTTCATCCTAGGAAGATGCCAGGACTTGTTTTAACATCTTCAAATGATGGAGAATATATTCTATCCCTCAGTGAAACTTCTAAATGTAACGTGGTTAGAGTCCATTCTTATTTCAGAATCAGCCCTGGCAAATTTGTGGTTCTATGGTCTCTTTTTAGTGGAATATTTTCTTTTCATTGTACTTGATAGAAGACAGCAGGGAGGACAGAGTCATAGCTATAGGAAGTAGTGTTGTCATCAGTAGTCAGGACCATTCCCATGCAGGAACAAAGACCTTGATGTGGATTTAGCACAAACAGCAGCAAATCTAAGAGTTATTTTTCTGGTAAACTCTGTTGACGGGTTGTCACAGTTTGAGCTAGTTGTACCTACTTGGTCGCAAAGGATCCATGCACTAGGCTGTTAGAAGTACAAAGGTTAAAAGGATTTTTCTCACAGCTAGCTATGTCTGGGATATTTTTTTCTGAGCCCAGCATAGCAATGTGGATATCCATATGAACTTCAGAGAGCATGTACACCTCTGCATGGCTGAGGACAGCTGGGCATAATCTTCTTTACTTACATGAAGAAATGATTTGACAGAAGGCAGTTGCACTGGCCTGCTGCAGGGCTGGTAGAGTCAAAAGA